AAGTGTGAGTGTTACTGGAGTCCAGCTCATCAGTCTGCGTCATTCGGACCGTTTACCGTCTGCAACGTAAGAAACACACTGATATAACTCATTATTATTAATTATTATTCTCAGTAATTTAACTCAAACGTTGAAAGACGACTTTGGTGTTAAGATCAAAGACACAAATGTGTTTTTTTATGTAAACTTTCAATCTGAAAAGTATCTAAAGTTGACAAATAATGTAATTAAATAAAAATCTATCACTGACTGATAAAATGTGTTGTTCCTATGTGTTTCCAGCAGGGGGAGACTCGTCCTAATGAAGACCTGGTGGTCAGAAATCTGACTGTCTCATACCAGCAGGTTACATATAATATATAATATTATATTATGATTATTATATTGTGCTTGTACAGCAGATTATCAGTGACCTCACACATTATGTCCTTTTATCTTCTACATTCACTCAATGTAAAACTGTTGCAATGACTTAAAGGTTACAAACACACTTCACTCTACAGCACTACAGCAACAGACCCAAACAATGTCTGCTACAGCCCACCAGACTCCATTAATAAAACCACTCATTTTAGCAGATAATAATTAAAATAAAATTCACCAAAACCGTCTTTATTAGTCTTTCCAACAATCAGCAACTCTGGTTTGGTTGAAATAAAAACTTAATTTACAGAATTAGATGTGACAATATTCATAAAACGAGCTGCAATGTAAACTAACATTAAGCATTATGGAAAGGATCCCTACAGAGACAGACCTTTAGTTCAACCACAGCCGTAATATCACTATCACTCTCCACCAGACTCCAGAGACAGAAACACACATTTTACCTTCAGATCATCGTAACTTCATTAAAGTGGACAGAACCAGAATCAAACTGACTGAAACTGTCTGGGTGGAACTACTGTATCTCTACAGAGACAACAGCTGTGTGCTGATATATATTAATGTTTACAATCTCATTAATTAAGAACCTTTGACAGAACTTCTTCAGCACCAGGACCCTGAACAACTGCACTTTCTCAACAAACTCCGACTTCTTTTGTAACATTTCACTTTTTGCCCACAAAAGTGAAAGTAAGATGTTCATAAATATCTCTGTGATGGACACACTGTCTTCCTCCTCCTCTTCCTCCTCCTCCTCTTCCTCCTCCAGGACAGCCGTTCACTGATTCAGTATCAGTTCCTGTCGTGGCCGGATCATGACGTTCCCTACGAGGCTGCAGGAGTCCTGGACCTGCTGGAGAGAGTCAGACACAGCCAGGGAACACACACCTCGCCTGTGCTGGTACACTGCAGGTACACACACACACACACACACACACACACACACACACACACACACACACACACACTCCGCCTCTAAACGGCTGTTAATTCCACATCATTACTGACGCTTGTTTTTGCCAGCAGTACAGATCGCAGGTCAGATGGTCATTAACATTCAACAGGACATATCACACATATGGCAGCTTATCTCACACACACGCACACACACACACACACACACACACACACACACACGCACGCACACACACACACACACACACGCCCACAAGCAGAAAGCAGGAGGTTGTGAATATGCAGCAGGTAACACCTGCTAACGATGGCACAGCTAACATGCACGCTGCATCTGTTCCTGTGTGTGTGTGTGTGTGTGTGTGTGTGTGTGAGTGTGTGTGTGTGTCACAGTGCAGGCTGTGGGAGGACAGGAGTCATCTGTGCTCTCGACTACATCCATGACCTGCTGGTTACCAAGGTAACGCACGCTAACACAACACGTGGCCACCGTTAGCTGTAAACGCTGCAGTACTCGGTGCTCAGAGTTCATCCTTACAGCTGTAACCAGTGACGGGCCCGAGCCGTCAGAGTGGGCCGTGGTCACCTTCCACGCCAGTTTATCACGTGTATTCCAGTAGGGGGCGCTGCGACGGATATCTGATCAAAGTTCTGGAAGGAGTTTGTTAAAGTACAGCTAACGTTATGGACCGTGAGATCTTAATGTATTGTTATATCTCATTCACATCCTCCTGTTTGGTTCTCGTGCAGCAGATCACATCGGACTTCAGCATCATGAACATCGTCCTGGAGATCCGCAGACAAAGACCCTCTGCAGTCCAGACTAAAGTACGTCACAGCACGAAGCTCTAACTTCAGTTCATTCATCAGAAGAACCAAATGCTTTCTACAACTGTCATTAAACTGTTGTTAACTGTGCAACCTGCAACCGGTGCCGGACCCACCGAGCAACCGAGACACAGCCAGCTACAACCGCAGCTTAGCTTCATTCAATCCTTCATTGTTGTCTAAAATCAACATCGTTTATCAGAATACATAAGTTAGCTGGGGAAGCTAACGTTAGCTAACTAACACAGCCACTCAGATAGTATTTATCTAGCTACAACAGTACTGAGCATGCAAGCTAATGTTAGCCAGCTAACAGCACAATCAGACAATATGTTCCACTAGCTTAGCATTAATGTTAGCTTTGACTTTGGACTCTGTGTTGTGGACTCTGTGTTGGACTCTGTGTTGGACTCTGTGTTGGACTCTGTGTTGTGGACTCTGTGATTGGACTCTGTGTTGTGGACTCTGTGTTGTGGACTCTGTGTTGGACTCTGTGTTGGACTCTGTGTTGGACTCTGTGTTGTGGACTCTGTGATACCGTGGACTCTGTGTTGGCTGTGTTGGACTCTGTGTTGTGGACTCTGTGTTGGACTCTGTGTTGTGGACTCTGTGTTGGACTCTGTGTTGGACTCTGTGTTGTGGACTCTGTGTTGTGGACTCTGTGTTGTGGACTCTGTGTTGTGGACTCTGTGTTGGACTCTGTGTTGTGGACTCTGTGTTGGACTCTGTGTTGTGACTCTGTTGGACTCTGTGTTGTGGACTCTGTGTTGTGGACTCTGTGTTGTGGACTCTGTGTTGTGGACTCTGTGTTGACTCTGTGTTGGACTCTGTGTTGTGGACTCTGTGTTGGACTCTGTGTTGTAGACTCTGTGTTGTGGATGTTGGACTCTGTGTTGGACTCTGTGTTGGACTGTGTTGACTCTGTGTTGGACTCTGTGTTGTGGACTCTGTGTTGGACTCTGTGTTGGACTCTGTGTTGGACTCTGTGTTGTGGACTCTGTGTTGGACTCTGTGTTGCTGACGTGACTCTGTGTTGTGGACTCTGTGTTGGACTCTGTGTTGTGGACTCTGTGTTGTGGACTCTGTGTTGGACTCTGTGTTGTGGACTCTGTGTTGGACTCTGTGTTGGACTCTGTGTTGTGGACTCTGTGTTGGACTCTGTGTTGTGGACTCTGTGTTGATTTTTTCCTTCCCCCCCCTTAAAAAAAAAGGGGAGTCACCACAACCCGTTCACTCTCGACTCATTAAGTGATGGTTTACTTTCAGGGGGGGATAATATCTGGTGACATCGTTGTGTTGTGTGCAGGATCAGTACCAGTTCATCTTCACGGCCGTCACCTGCATGTTTGAGCAGATCCTGCAGACGGACCGCAGTCGGCTCTACAGCAACCTGCCCGAGGTAAAAACACACCTTTGATTTGAGCGTGTTGATTAAATCAGTATGTTGGTTGGTGGAGGAAGCTGTGTGAGAGCTCAGAAAGAGGAAGTGGTTCACAACGCTGACTTCCTGTATGTAAATTCACTGCTGCAGTTTGAGAGTAGAAAGAGACACAGAGAGAAGTGTTCAACATTTAACAGGAGTTCATCTACTGCGACTAAAGAGGACGATACAGGTAGGTTCACTTCAAATTATAACCATAGGAACATCATATATATATATATATAAACATTAATATATATCAGCACACAGCTCTCTGTAGAGATACAGTAGCTCCACCCAGACAGTTTCAGTCAGTTTGATTCTGGTTCTGTCCACTTTAATGAAGTTCTGATGATCTGAAGGTAAAATGAGTGTTTGTGTCTCTGGAGTCTGGTGGAGAGTGATAGTGATATTACGGCTGTGGTTGAACTAAAGGTCTGTCTCTGTAGGGATCCGACTGTACAGACTCACATTATTCCTCCTGGATTCAATAGTTCATAGGTTAATTAATCTCACTGTGATTTATTGTTTAATGGTCTTACTAATGTCACTGATTCGATTGTGTCTGAGAGTTAAAACTGTAAACGGAGCTCAGCGAAGGACAGACGAACATATTACTCAATCAAACAGGGAAACACTGATATTTACAAAGACATTGAACTGGTGGAGGAAGTAATCAGCTATACAGCCGAGTGCGAACACTGTAGAACACTGTGAAACACTGTAGAACACTGTAAAACACTGTAGAACACTGTAGAACACTATGAAACACTGTAGAACACTGTAGAACACTGTAAAACACTGTAGAACACTATAAAACACTGTAGAACACTGTAGAACACTGTGAAACACTGTAGAACGCTGTAGAACACTGTAAAACACTATGAATCACTGTAAAACACTGTAGAACACTATAAAACACTGTAGAACACTATAAAACACTGTAGAACACTGTAAAACACTGTAGAACACTGTAAAACACTGTAGAACACTATGAAACACTGTAGAACACTGTAGAACACTATAAAACACTGTAGAACACTGTAAAACACTGTAGAACACTGTAGAACACTGTAGAACACTATGAAACACTGTAGAACACCGTAGAACACTGTAGAACACTATGAAACACTGTAGAACACTGTAGAACACTATGAAACACTGTAGAACAATATATAAAACACTGTAAAACATTATATAAAACACTATAAAACACTGTAGAACACTGTAAAACACTGTAGAACACTGTAGAACACTATGAAACACTGTAGAACACTGTAAAACACTATGAATCACTGTAAAACACTGTAGAACACTTAAAACACATGAACAGTAAAACACTGTAGAACACTATAAAACACTGTAGAACACTGTAAAACACTGTAGAACACTATGAAACACTGTAGAACACTGTAGAACACTGTAAAACACTATGAATCACTGTAGAACACTGTAGAACACTATGAAACACTGTAGAACACTGTAGAACACTATGAAACACTGTAGAACAATATATAAAACACTGTAAAACATTATATAAAACACTATAAAACACTGTAGAACACTGTAAAACACTGTAGAACACTGTAGAACACTATGAAACACTGTAAAACACTGTAGAACACTATGAATCACTGTAAAACACTGTAGAACACTGTAAAACACTGTAGAACACTATGAAACACTGTAGAACACTGTGAAACACTGTAGAACACTATGAAACACTGTAAAACACTGTAGAACACTATGAAACACTGTAAAACAATATATAAAACACTGTAAAACACTGTAAAACACTGTAAAACACTGTAGAACACTATGAAACACTGTAAAACAATATATAAAACACTGTAAAACACTGTAGAACACTATGAAACACTGTAAAACAATATATAAAACACTGTAAAACACTGTAAAACAATATATAAAACACTGTAAAACACTGTAAAACACTGTAGAATACTATGAAACACTGTAAAACAATATATAAAACACTGTAAAACACTGTAAAACAATATATAAAACACTGTAAAACACTGTAAAACACTGTACAATACTATGAAACACTGTAGAACACTATGAAACACTGTAAAACAATATATAAAACACTGTAAAACACTGTAAAACACTGTACAATACTATGAAACACTGTAGAACACTATGAAACACTGTAAAACAATATATAAAACACTGTAAAACATTCATTCAAAGCTAATTTGCAACCGAATATCATAAATATTACATTCAGAATCATAAATATAATAATAATAATAATAATAATAATAATATGTTTACATGAAAACTGACATCAACAATTAATATAGTTGATTTTAGTCATTAGCTAATTGATTAATGGACTAATTATTTCAGCTGTACTTCTATTAACTGTTTTAATTATACTGTATTTTTATAATAATTATTATAATTATAATAATAGTGAGCGTTACACAAAGTGAAGAATACGTTTCTGAACTACAAACCAAACTGTTGTAAGTTTAACAACTGCAGACGTGTGAAAGCTGCTGCGAGCAGTTTGACACCTTGTTGTTGAACGCAGCCTCAGACTGACCTGTTTTAGCATCGCTGTTTAAACTCATCGGCTGCACAGACGACAGGAACCAACAACAACTTCATGTTCTCAGAATCCAGAGGAGGTGTTCTCACTGTTAACATAAAACTGTAGTTAGAGGAAAAACAAACAACTCTTTGTGAACGTAACTCACTCGCTGTAAAATCATCGTATGTACATTTTATTAGTTTCACCATCACATCATCATACTGAATATAAAAGATATAATTATATATAGTTATTAATCCTTATATCACGTTTATGTTCCCAGCTGTTATTAATAATAATCTTTAATGAATCATTAAACTTCACCAGCAGCTGATCAACCAATTAAACACCAATAAATGTCAATAAATAAATGTTTTCTAATTCCTCTGCAGTCGACTGGAAACTGAACTCGGAGTTTTTCAGACGAATAAAATAAAAAACAGTTTTCTGTTTTCTGTTTTGTGACCAGCTGAAGAAACCAGAGAGAGAATCCACAAAAACCCCTGCTTCCTACACCAAGAGGTACCTGTCTGTCTGCCTGTCTGTCTGTGTGTGTCTGTCTGTCTGTGTGTGTCTGTGTCTGTCTGTCTGTCTGTCTGTCTGCCTGTCTGTGTGTGTCTGTCTGTCTGTCTGTCTGTGTCTGTGTCTGTGTCTGTCTGTCTGTCTGTCTGACTGTCTGTGTCTGTCTGCCTGTCTGTCTGTGTGTGCGTCTGCTGTCGTGTCTGTGTCTGTCTGTCTGTGCTCTGTCTGTCTGTCTGCCTGCTGCTGTCTGTTTTTTTTTTTTTTTTTTTTTTCTCTTTTTCATGTCTGTGTCTGTCGTGCTGTCTGTCTGTCTGTCTGCCTGTCTGTCTGTGTCTGTCTGTCTGTCTGTCTGTGTCTGTCTGCCTGTGTGTCTGTGTCTGTCTGTCTGTGTGTGTCTGTCTGTGTGTGTCTGTCTGTCTGTCTGTCTGTCTATCTGTCTGTGTGTGTGTGTGTCTGTCTGTCTGTCTGTCTATCTGTCTGCCTGTGTGTCTGTGTCTGTCTGTCTATCTGTCTGTCTGTCTGTCTGTCAGAGAGAGACAGACTGATAGTATGTCTCACCCCGAGGTGTTAAATTAACACTTTCTCACTCTCCTTTTCCATCCCTCCATCCCCATATGTTACCACGTCACCATGGAAACGCAGCAGAGAGCGAGGGCAGAGGGGAGGAAATAAAAATGAGGGGAAAGAAGAAAAAGAAGTAATGTGAGGAAAGAAAGTGAGCAGAGGAAGGAGGGAAGGAAGGAGAAGTAGGAGGAGGAGGAGGAGGCGGTGGATTAAGAATAGAGGGAGGAAGAGGAAACGAGAAAAGAATAACAGAAGTGGAGAGGAGGAGGAAGAGGGTGTGAAGAGAGAGAGAGGAGGAGGAAGAGAAGAGGAAGGAGAGGAGGAGAGTGAATGAGGAGGTGAAGGTGAAGAGATTTGCTCGGGCGGTTCTGAGACCCGTCTGGTTAGGCCACACTGGTTAGGACCAGTGTAACCATGGCGACTGCGGTCACACGGCTGCAGCAGGAAGTGGCGAGCAGTGTAACTTCCTGCTGCAGATGTAAATACACAGCTGCGACAAACTGACACAACAACGGCTGCACTCTCCAGCCTCAGCTCTGCAATGCATCATGGGACCTGGAGTTCACATGTGTGATTACTGTTACGGATGCTCAGCTCCAGATGTTAGCCAGAGTCCGGTGCTGTCTATAACCTGGAGGCTCTGTTTGTGTCAGTTTATATCCTGTCACTGTCGGTCTCCGCCCACAGCGCGGCTCCGCCCACCACTGTGGAGTCACGATGTTAGCCTAGCTTAGCAACAAAGACTGGAAACAGGTGGAAACTGTTAGCTTACATCACTGCTCTGCCTCCCTGCAGCCTGCCTCAGCAGCCGGCCATGAATGACACGTACGCTGTGGTCAACAAACCCAAACATTCCCACCCACCTTCATCAGGCCCCGCCTACTCTACTGTAGCCACGCCCAGATCCAACAGTGCGAGCAGGTAAAGACACACCTGAACGCCTCAACTGCAGTGGGCTCGGCTCCATGACGTTGATATATTATATATTTATATATTTATATATTATATATTATATATTATATGTTTATTTATATATTATATATTATATATTTATATATTTATATATTAGTATTATGTGTCTTTATATATTATATGTTTATTTATATATTTATATATTATATATTATATATTTATATGTCATATATTATATATTATATATTTATATATTTATATATTATATATTATATATTATATATTTATATATTTATATATTATATGTTTATTTATATATTATATATTATATATTTATATATTATATATTATATATTTATATATTTATATATTTATATATTATATATGTATATATTTATATATTATATATTAGTATAATGTCTTTATATATTATATATTTATATATTTATATATTTATATATTATATATTTATATATTTATATATTATATATTATATATTTATATATTTATATATTTATATATTATATATGTATATATTTATATATTATATATTAGTATTATGTGTCTTTATATATTATATATTATATATGTATATATTTATATATTATATATTAGTATTATGTGTCTTTATATTATATATTTATATATTTATATATTATATATTATATATTATATATTATATATTTATATATTATATATTTATATATTTATATATTTATATATTATATATTAGTATTATGTGTCTTTATATTATATATTTATATATTTATATATTATATATTTAACCCTTAGGTCGCTGCCCTCGTCTCATCACTATGACAACGACGCCATGGGAGCAGCGGCTCCGGTCTACAGCACGGTCAGACCGCGAGCTAAAGGCCTCAGCCTGCAGCACTCCGCCACGCCCATCTATGACATGGCAACACCAGCCAATCACAGGCTGGGGGAGGGGCCAGCATCACTAGGCAACAATGGAGACTATCAGCTGATTGCAGGTAACGAGGAGAGGAGAGGATGTGAGGAAGATAGAAGTGATGATGATGAGGAAGATAAACGACTCTTCTCTCTTCCAGCTGATCATCTTTCAGAGGCGGACGACGATTACGAAGATTTCTCCTCTTCGGTCTCAGACTCGACCAACCCGTGTTCACCTGGTGGCATCGGTCAGTACACCTGTGCTCCTTAAAGAGACAGTGCGCCTGTGCTCCTTAAAGGGACAGTACGCCTGTGCTCCTTAAAGGGACAGTGCGCCTGTGCTCCTTAAAGGGACAGTGCGCCTGTTCTCCTTAAAGGGACAGTACGCCTGTGCTCCTTAAAGGGACAGTGCGCCTGTGCTCCTTAAAGAGACAGTGCGCCTGTGCTCCTTAAAGAGACAGTACACCTGTGCTCCTTAAAGGGACAGTGCGCCTGTGCTCCTTAAAGGGACAGTGCGCCTGTGCTCCTTAAAGAGGACAGTGCGCCTGTGCTCCTTAAAGAGACAGTACACCTGTGCTCCTTAAAGGGACAGTGCGCCTGTGCTCCTTAAAGGGACAGTGCGCCTGTGCTCCTTAAAGGGACAGTGCGCCTGTGCTCCTTAAAGGGACAGTGCGCCTGTGCTCCTTAAAGAGACAGTGCGCCTGTGCTCCTTAAAGGGACAGTACGCCTGTGCTCCTTAAAGGGACAGTACGCCTGTGCTCCTTAAAGAGACAGTGCGCCTGTGCTCCTTAAAGGGACAGTGCGCCTGTGCTCCTTAAAGGGACAGTGCGCCTGTGCTCCTTAAAGGGACAGTACGCCTGTGCTCCTTAAAGGGACAGTGCGCCTGTGCTCCTTAAAGGGACAGTACGTCTGCTTCACAGCTGCTTTTAATTCACTAAATCTAACAAAATCCAACTCTTCTAACTGGTTGTTGCTTCAGCTCGTCACTGAGACGTCGGTCCCTGATGCTGAATTTAAAATCTTATAATGTATTTAATGTATTTAATGTATTTAATGGCCAACCCCAGTTAGCTTAGCTACAGTTAGCTTGTTGGATGCCCCGCGACACACACCGCTCTTTGCTAGGAGAAACCATTAGCTTTGCACTGCTACATTATTCATGAGAATACAGTTTGTCACAATACATCAGTTAGTATCATGGATCTTGTTAGCTGGGGAAGCTAACGTTAGCCAATTAACATATCCAGTCAGAAAGTGTTTTGCTAGCGATAGCTTTAGCCAGCAGGCAAGTTAATGTTAGCCAGCTAGCTGCAACTAGCCAGACACTCTGGAGCGTACGTTTATTTATTAACGCAGTTTCCGTTCAGCGAGTAATGACAATAACGATCCTTCTTGACTACCATCAACACTCTCTGATGGAAACAGTGACTGACGACAGCGTGCTCTGTGTTTACGACGTCTACAGCGATCCGTCTTTCCGGTTTTCAGTTTTTTGTGTTGAGAACACAGATTAGCGCCGCCTGCTGTTACGGGGACGTATTACGCCTCGCGCACACGCACAACGTACGCCCCAGTCGGCGTCGGTTTGGTGTGTTTGGAGGCACTTCTTTGACCGACTCGGGGAGACGGGAGCCGACTGATCCGTCCGACTGCTTTTCTGTCGACAGTCGGCCGTCGGGTTGGTGTGTCCTGGCCTTAAAGGTCACAACCTTTGACCCTCAACCCTCGAAGAGACACATAGAGACACATAGAGACACATAGAGACACATACAGTCCACAGACAGCAGAGGGACAAAGCTGCACTACAACCTGCTCACACAATGACACACACACACACACACACACACACTCACACACACACACACACACACACACACACACACACACACACTGCTCACACACACACACACACACACACACACACACACACCTGCTCACACATACACACACACACACACACACACTGCACACACTGACACACACACACACACACACACTGCTCACATACACACACACACACACACACACACACACACACACACACACACACTGCTCACACACATACACATACACACACACACACACACCACACCACACACACACACACACACACACACACACACACACACACACATACACACACACACACACACACACACAACACACAAACACACAACACACACACACACACACACACACACACACACACACACACACACTGCTCACACACACACCACACACACACACCCACACACACACACACACACACACACACACAACACACAAACACACATACACACACACACACACAAACACACAACACAACACACACACACACACACACACACACACACACACACACCCACACACAACACAACACACACACACACACACCCACACGCACACACACACACACACACACACACACACACACACAACACAACACACACACACACACACACACACAACACACAACACACACACACACACACACACACACACACACACACACACACACACACACACACTGCTCACACACACACACACACACACACACACACACACACACACACACAACACACACACACACACAAACACACAACACACACACACACACAAACACACATACACACACACACACACACCACACACACACACACACACACACACACACACACACACTGATTATACAGATACATTAAACATCATTTACAATCTGAGACCATGTTTAACTCTGTATTTGTGTGTTTGTATTTTTCAGGGTTTAATTGTCGCATCCAGAAGCCCCGAGGACCCAGAGATCCTCCTGCTGAGTGGAGCCGACTGGAGAGATGAAACTGGTTCAACTGGTTCAACTGGTTCAACTGGTTCACTGTTTGACTGGATTAAAGTTATTTTAGTTGAACTGCAGCGAGCGCGACTGTGAGGCTGAAATCTGTTCATATTTCTGGGCAGTGTGTGAATTATTAAAATATGTGTGTGAACATCACAGATTTAACCTCTGAACAACAGACTGGACTTCATTCAAAGCACAGAGGTTTTATCTGTTGGACCAGAGTTCCCAGTTCACACAGAACTCAACAGTAAAAATAATTTAAAAAACATTTGTGGTGAACTCTTTAATAATTGACTATAAAGGGAAAATCTGGTGTTTTTCAACGTGTGTGTTATTCTGATTATTGGTTGTAAGAAATGTGACTCAACTTATTATAATAATGATAATAAACTTTATTTATATTAATATTTATTTTATTTTTTATTGTTTCCAGTTTTCTGTCTAGTGTAGTTTTTATTGATTTTAGTTCACATGTAGTTTTAGTGTATTTGTGGTGAACTATAGAGACTTTAAGAGCAGCGTGTTTTTCCAACGCCGCTTTCTTCTCCACGTTAGCAAGCAAGCTAAAGTTAGCCAGCCAGATCACAGCTAATGCTAAAAAACAAACAAAAACAAAAACAAACAGAATCCAACAAATAATCTGAGGATGTGATTTCAGCTCAGTAAAGGGGCCAAAGTATGTATCAGTAATGAGTTACACTGCTAGTTACTGTAGAAAGTAATATTAATACTGTAATATTAATAAATCAGATCAAATATATTTTATTTTTCCCACAAAAACAATGTTCGCACTGTACATCCCAACCAACACAGACCTGCACATACAAAACAAGAATTTACTGTATACAGTTACAGTAACAAAATAAATTAAAAAAAACTATGCTGCATCCTCTCTTCTGTTTCGGTCTGGCCACAGCACCTCATCCACGCCACGCAGCGGGGGAAATATCACCTAGCATGGCGAATCCAGCCATGAAAAGCATCAACTGCTATATCTCCACATGCGTCTCCCATAGGTTGGAGAAGGGGTATATGCGTTTGTGGATTTCGGTCATACATTTTCCATCAGTGAACCAGTTACCAGAGCAGCCCGGTGGAAACTTACATTGTCCCAAATGACAACGAACCTGAGCTGCTCTGGGCCGTCAGTCTGATCTGGTGGAATGAGTGTGTTGTGTAGGTGTCCAGGAATGTGATCAGATGGGCAGTGTTGTAGGGGCCAAGGGTAGCATGGTGATGGATGACGCTGTGGTGGGTAATCGCTGCACACATTGTGATGTTCCCTCCACGCTGGCCAGGGACTTCAACAATGGCCCGCTGGCCGATGATATTCCTTCCCTCCTTCGTGTTTTTGTGAGGTTGAATCCAACCTCATCAATGAAGATGAACTGGTGCTCCACTGCAGCCACCTCTAGCTCAAGGACTCTCTGAAACACACATACAGACAATATCAGAAATAGACATGGAGTGGTCACTATTGTGAAGCACAATCATTATGATTACAATACTGAAATATGTATAATTTATACAGTGTTGAGAGTATGTGTTAATTGTGGGATTGTATAGGACTCACTTGCACATAGTTATATCGTAGTTTATATTATATTAATAATATTATATATATTATTATATTATATTGCGTTCAAATGGCACCCTGTAGACCTGCTTCATCCTCAGATTATTGGACACGGTCCAGTGTTGATAAGCTTACCCTATCAATATTTTGAAATATCTCATTGTTTTCTATTATTTTTCTTTGGATTTGCCGTAATGTTATGGCGTTATTTTCTAGGACTATGTTCATGATTTCAGTTTCCTGTTCAGGAGACAGAAGACATTCCCGACCACCTTGTGTTGGTAGTCTTTCAGTTCTGCCAAACAAAAAGTAAAATACTGTAAATACTATGTAGGAATACTGTGTAGGAATACATTTCCCAAATACTTGAAACTTGAAACCTCAGCACGTAGTTCCACTGCTGACCACCAGGAGGCAGCAGAGTGAAAGCAAACAGCTGCAGGAGAGAGGGAGACACACACACACACACACACACCCACAAACCCCCCCACACACACACACAGTAACTCACACACACACAGACACACACACACACATCCAGAGCCAATATGAGAGAAACACACAGTGAGACACTGAGAGGACGAAGATGGTTTCAATTAAAGCTCTGGCAAAACTGTGTGTGTGTGTGTGTGTGTGTGTGTGTGTGTGTGTGTGAGTGTGAGTGACATCATCAGATCTGAATCAAGTTACGAAAGATACCAGAGGTGATTCACACACACACACACACACACACACACACACACACACACACACACACACACACACACACACACAACCTGTACACACTGTAATTGTGTCTTTGTATGTTTTCATTGTGTGTGTGTGTGTGTGTGTGTGTGTGTGTGTGTGTGTGTGTGTGTGTGTGTGTGTGTGTGTGTGTGTGTGTGTGTTAATCCTCTGCAACCACAGGACCTTCCTGCACTCCCATCATGCTATGCTGTGAGCATAGGACTCTTGACACAAACACACACACACACACACACACACACACACACACACACACACACACACACAAAAACACAATTCTCCTGCAAAATGAAACTTTACATTCAAACAATGTTATTTCTTCTCAAACTGGTATTTTGTTTTCTAATGACACACAAACCATCCTATGAACAGACATTTCTAAGAACCAGTTGAACACTGATGTGCTCAATGGAAAACACTGAATGGAAAACACTTCTTCTCCATTCATCATAATGACTTAGGCCTATGTTTTGTTCAGTGTTACACTTACTACAGACAGTACATACATAAGTGTGTTGTAAAATATTTGAGAATATTGTTTTTATACTCAGAACACACAAATACACAGTAACAAATATATTTTATTTTTCCCACAAAAACAATGTTCACAGTGTACATCCCAACCAACACAAAGTAGTAGTTTAGCAGAATTGGTTCAGAGGGTTGGTGCATTAGTTACATGTTGTGGTCATTGTGTCTCAAGTACCAGTATTTGTGTGTAAACAATTGAGAAAAAGTGTAATAAAAACAGATTTTAGCTCTGAGTTAGTTCATGTGGAACTTCACTGTTTGAACTGCTGCTGGTTGTTGTCCGCTGTTAGCTA